TAAGTCCCATTATCTTGCAGGCACAACCCTGTCGTACCATTCCTTCCATTCAGCCCTCAATGTCGGCCAGCAACGGTGAGGTCGGTTCACTCTCCAATTTCCCCAGTTGAGCCCCCCTTCATAGAGAAGAAAGTGGTTCTCCAAACGAGGGTATAAAGCTGGAAGTTAAGCGGGAGCTTCTCGAAAGATGGGACCTAGGACATATTCTTGTTTGTCATTATGGTGAGGAACAAAGAGGTGTCTGTCTATGGCACTTGACCCATCAGTTGTAATTTGACAATCTTTTCCTCAATACATCTTTTTAAAGCCATGGTTGGACTTATACGTTCGCCAGTTGGTACTTTCAGTGAGGAAGAATCCATTGGTGACGAGTAGCAAGGAAGAGAGGTTTAGTAGAAGGGAAGGGTTTGTGTTTTGAACAAACGAGTGAGTTCAGAGCACGAAGTAAAAATGGTTTTAAAAACCTTGGTGTCTGGAAAATATATCGTGTAATTCATAAAGAAGTACTAAAAGTACAGATACGGAAAGTTTCCTTTAATATTGATACTTTTGGAGGGAAACACATCTCAGATGTCAGCTTTGAAATAAAATATTTGGCTTCGAAACCGGATTTTGGCGCTAAAGTCAAATAACAACGGCGTTGAAACTGGGAAGCCGGCTTCGAAGCACATTCCACACCTAAGGATGCAAGAATGCTCAAGTATTTGTTTACTTCAAAAGGATTGAAAACTTGTTTTATGGTTTCTTAGTGAGAGTAAATCCTTCGAAGCAAAATTTGAAATCCATCAAAGTTAGGAATGGTTTGTTCTAAGTTCCAAACCAATAGCTGGTTTGATAATATACAGAAGAGATTGCTCTTTTAGAATAAAACAATGCAGTCCTGAAAGGAGGCTTCCATATTTCTGAAAGTATGGACTGTTGTTTGAAGCAAAATTGGTCAATTTAAAACCATATGTTAGATATGATTAAAGCAAGCTTTAAGGGGCAACATTTTCGAATTCGAGGCTCTGATTCTGAAAGGAGACTTCTATATGGTGAGAGAAGTCAAATTGATTTTCAAATATTTCATTGAGAGTCAAGTTTCGAAGAGAAAAATTGATGATCTCGAAGCTATAATTTTGTTGGTTCTGGGTAAAATTAGACCATACCAAATAACAAAGCAAGGTCTCTCCGCTTTATTAAGATAAGTATGATTACATCAAAGGCCTTGCTTAGACACATATTCAAGCTCATAAAAGTAAGGAACAAAGTAAATAACAAGGTCATAGAATTTGGTCCAGCTATGGTCAATAAACTTATGTTCCTTTTTTATTCTATCTTCTATTTTCTCCAGGCTTGGTTGCTGAAGTTGGTGTGCTCTTACTTGACAAAAGAGTTTTTCGGTCTTTATTTCAAACTCTGTTTCTTTTAACCCTTGTTCCATCTCATCCATATCCAAGTCATCCCAGTACGCAGAGTTTTTATTCTTGAAGTCATCATATTCTTCGATGAGGTTCTCTGCTTCATATTGGGTATGAACTTGAAGGGCTGAAAGTTGGTTCAAAGACTGGGTGGTGGCCATAGAAGTTTGGTGCCAATGAAGAAGTAATGAGAGTTGGTCCAAAAACATCTGGAGCTCTGCTTGGGCGATAGGGTTGAGGACATGACCTCGAGTCATAACATCACTGGCCCATCGAAAGTTCTTGAGAGGAACATCATCCTTAAGAACGTTGAAGGGCAAGTGAGAAAAGGCCGCAAGTAGAAGTTGGGCTTGCTTTCGCTAAATTGGAGTAGGGAGAGGTGAAGGATTATAGAGGGGAAAAACTTGGTCCTCAAAGAAGGCAAGCCTCAGTTTCTCTATCCAGTGGGGATTTTGCGGAGAAAGGGGTATAGAAGTTTCCATCTCGAAAGAAGGAGGAAACTGGGGGGTGTTAACACAATCAAGCCAGTCAGAAGAGCAAAGCTTTGCCTTCTGGGCTAAGAACAATGGGCTATACCCTTGTGCTTCTTCTGGACGTCGAGTAGTTTGTACAATCTTTGTAGGCATGGAGGATGTGTACCATGCTACGAGCAGATTGTCCTCCAAACTGCGGCGACGGTCAATAGATACATATGGATAAACCACTGAGCTTCGAGCAGAGGAAGGAAAAGTTAGAGGGTCAACAAATTCGACGAAATAATGATTAACTCGCTCCTTTAACTCCGATTTTTCAGGTTCGGGCCAGCTTCTCCAACTAGAAGCTCCAGCTTCTCCAACTAGAAGCTCCAGAGGAAGAAGAAGCTGCAGCCTCATCCCACGCAGAAGGTTTTGGGTTAGAAGAAGGGCTCCCAATATCCATATTTGCAAACTTTTGGGTTAAAGAATCGTGGATCACAGGTTCGTAGTCCAAAGATTGATAATTTACAAAAGCTTTGATGACTTAAATATAGGAAGGTAGATAAAGGTAGCCAATAAATGCATGAAAGTTCTTTCGAGAAAGAACAACATCATCGAACAACTCTTCGTATGCTTGATCAACGTAAGAGAAGATTGGCTTAGCCATAAAAAATGTATCAGTCTTTTTGAATACTGGAATAAGTGGGATGCTCAAAGGATTAAAAGAGAATTTAATGTAGATGATGAATGACTGTTGCATTTCTGGAGAATGCAAAGCCCATGCACGTTCTAAAACGTGGATAAAATATCTTGATCCACTAATATTACCAAGGATTGGGTATATTAGTGCGGGGGGTAATGTTGGCTACATATTTTGTATAAAGCCAATCACAGTTCAACACATGGCAGGTTGAGGGTAATACGGGAAAACAATTCAAACCTTCGATCGTGATCATACACGTGGCAGTTAGTATTGGTTTTCATAAGATCTGCGTAGTACTGGATCAGTAAAGAGATGCAAAGTGATGTGGCTTCAACGGTTACTCACATTTAAATTCAAAATCAGGAGGGAAGCCTAACTGCAGGTATTGGCATAGTGGAGCTAACTATAAGGCAACATGATCAGCGATCATGGAGAGATGATTCGACAACGGTTAAAAGTGCAGCTCGATGGTTATCCTTGAGAAGTATAAATAGCAGAGAAGGCCCCAGAAAAAGCCCTAGACTCAGATCCATAAAACTGGTTTTATTCTACTTTATTTCTTTTCCAGTTTTTACATTTCTTGTTCTTTACATTTTGGTACTTCAAATTCTTGCACTGCATTTTATTCATAGGAGTAGTTTTCAAGTAGCTTGTTGCTGTAGACCTCTACGAGACTGATTTGGATCTTTGTAAGTCTTTCATTTTGCTTAATGAAATACTACAACTGTTCTTCATTTAATCATTGTTTGCTTAATTCTCCTAAACAAAGCCACCAGTAAAAGTTCTCTTCATTGAGGCTGAAAGAACTAAAACACAATCGTCTGATAATTGATTGGCAATTAACATTCTGTAAGGACTGATTGATCTTTGCTGGCACGCTTACAATTACAAAAAATGACCTTCGAAAGCCAAAAAAGCCAACGCTCGTGCTAGGAGCTAATTAGCCTCCAAAAACAAGTGTCGTTGGTGAATGTTGTTGAGGCACACGCTAACTTAGGACTTGGCTCATAATTGAATTTCAAGTTGATCCACCATAGGTGTTCATCAATCATCTCGTCCCTTAATCCAAACAGAGGTAAAGTGTAGATACACCTCATTCTCAACCTTGATGACGAGTAATTGGCAACTTAACTCAAGCATGCAAGACAACAAAATGGTCCCAATGGACTTTCCTCTACTACCTTTGCCTGTTTCCACCGCTTTTTAAGTTTCTTCACCAAGCCATTAACCAGCCCTATTTTGACTAGTAATTAGTAGCCAATTTGAAATCAAGAATTCAAAAATCAGCATTTGTGCAGGTTGAACTGCTTTTAGATTTCCATGACTCTGGTTAGATTCACTGTCTTCTTAATAATTGAGAGTTAGGTAAATGGCCACCAATAAAAACATTCACTATTACATCTACAAACATCACCAGCCAATCATCCTATATTCCCTTGTTTCTTTGTTCTAGAACATTTACAATCGCTAAATCATTAAAAATGTCAAGATATAATAATCTTAAGAAATGATTCAGTAAGTATAAATATTTTAGAATCGAGCAACACAGAGACGTGAAAATAGAGTCAAACAAGATACTCCCAGAAAATGGATAGAGCTGACCTGATCCACTTTTGTTTACAATGTAGGAAACAATGTCGATCCCATCCATCTCCTTTATTTGTCGAAAGCGCTAAATGCATATACCACAATAGTACTCTAGTACTACTAAATAATTTCCCTCAAATAATATACTAGCTTTTCCACTAGTATGTTCATAATTTGAATCACAAATGGATAATTTTTCCACAAATTATAGACCACAATTCAACTTCTTGTTTTTCCACAAGTACGTTCATAATTTGAATCACAAATGGATAGTTATAAATTGTACACATACATAGACTATTGAAAATGCACTGGTGTTTCATACTCAACTCAGCAAGCAAGCAAGACCTGGTACAAACAAATTACTAATTAGGTGACCAACTAAAGAGAATGAAGAGCAACTTCATATGGACTCTCTCCCTATGCACCCATGTTGCCATAAATGCAGGATCATGATCAACAAACTATGTCAGTTCTTCAACAGAATTCGAACAAAGAAGCAAACACAATCCTATCACATGGGGTGAGAATCACATTTAATGTGTTATACCTCACATGAGAGAGTTGTATTCCCCGAGCTCTTATTTGGTTAAGGTATCACAGGATGAGTTATCCCGAGAAGGGTACTTCAGCCATTTTACTACGAAAGCTTCATCTCGGGATAAATTGTCCTACCCGAGACAAAATAATGCCACTTATCAGGGATGAAAGGTTCCCGAAGATAAATTACTGGGTTACAAAATGTGAACAAACCACAGAATAAATATCCTGTCTCACCCTCTTATCGTTATTGGTGAATCAAACACGGCTAAATAGAAACCATATCTGTATCTGTAGGCACGACTGTAAGCATACTATAAAATAACAGGGGCATCTAAATTCATTTTCGAAAATTGATTCATTTGCTACAGCATTTGAATGGAATTATTACAGGCAAGAATTGGCCACAAACCTGGAATCACAACTAAATCAAACAAAATGAATTCACCACATGCTTAAAGTTTTCCACATGTAGGTCTGGTCTAGCTTGAGTTTTTTTTTTTGGATCTGCTACTCAACCTGTATTCTGTTACTGAGGAGCCATCGGTGAATGCGGCTTCCATGAGATTCTTTACTTCAATTCACATTTTACTTGTTGATAAAATGTTCTTGTTTTCTTTTGCCTTCACTTTTCACACTACATCGGATCATCATCTTGCACTTGCCATTGCAGTAAACTAATATAAAAAATTTAAAAAAAGGAAAAATCTAAGGTAGTAAGTAGTATAATCTCAACACTAGAAGAGCAGCAGAACCAAGATTGGTACGCTCATGAGGTAAGGCTAATACAAGATATCCTGGCAAATCATACCAACTTTTCTTTAAAAGATTTTTATGTTTAAATTTTTTTGTTTTAATTAAAACAAAGAGAACAAAGAAGAAAAATTAAAAAGTAAATCCATCCAAATGCCATCAGAAACACAATGAACACATTTTACTTGATTGCTGCAAATCTGCAATAACATATGAACAATAGCCGACTAAAATTTCAAAATGCAATTACCTGGGCCCATCTCCAGTTTGCTCAGCGTACTGCTGGTTGAATTGAGAGAAAATAGCTTCAATTTACAATATATTTTTCAATTACGCTGGATACTTTCTCAATCGTAGATATACAGAGACAAGTATCTTTGTGCAAACATTGAGATAATTTGCACGGCAGAGATGGTACAAGTAAAAAGAATGTTACACTTCTCAGTCAGGATAAATCTGTTTCTTTAGCTTCTCCCAAACTTTGGGGCCTGTAGGGTGTTGATTTACAAACCGCCTTATAAATATTTTATCTGAGCATGAAAGAATAGTGCTCAATGCCAACTTGGGATCCACTTTTCCTTGATCTTTAAGCCAATCATACATTGAGCACCTAAGCTTAACCCTCTGGATCGTGTAGGAAACATATGCTGGGAATATCAATAAAGATGAAGGTGGATAGCCCAAACCATTTACAAGAAAATCAATTTTCATTTGAATCACGTCCTTTGATTGGTTAAGAACTTGAGGAGCTAATTTGATAATCTCTGAGACATCTTTCCTATTCAGACCAGCCTTCACAAAACAATCAAATCTCTCATGAAGTTCCCCTCCTTTGCCTCGGAACACCCTGAGAGCTTTTCTCATTTCATTTGAGTTTTCAACAAATCCCAAGTCCAACAAGAACTTAGTCTTCATCATCTGTGATCTTAGTTCCTCCCCTGAATCTGGCAACCGTTTGACCGTTGATCCAAGAACCCACTCCTTCAATACTAGTGGGTTCTCCTTGATAATATCACAAAGCCGCTTCTTCCCAGTATTCAGATTTGCAAGTAAGCTGTTAAGTTTCTTCAAATAACATGAACCCAACAACAAGGGGTGTGCGCGAACAATCCTTCCAATCTCTTGGACCTCCATCTCAGCCTTGACTAAAAAGTGGTAACATTGCCTCATATTGTAAACAAACGCTCTGACTTCGACTTGTGGAAATTGCAGAAATATAGAACAGATCTCATTTTTGGTGGATCCAAATTTTAACAAGAACCCAATTAATGAAAAGGCAGTACTTCCAGAAGCCTCAAATAGAAGCCCCGGATGCTGACAAATTAATTTTCCTAATTGCTCTTCACTGCAACCCATGTTGGTCAATAAGCATAATAGCTCAAGCATATGACTACAATTATAAGTATTCCCCTCTATTAAATTCTCCTCAATCCAGCCATATTCAATCCCGATGCTCTTGAATTTATCTAAAACCTTTCGAAATTCCTTATTCATGTCCCCAACCAAAAGATCAGGACATGAAGAAACAAACTTGATTACACTAGACTTGTTTAGCCCCATTTCTTCAAAAGCTTGAAGCTTCAATTGCAAAACCCCATAATCATATTTAAAAACTTCAGTTGCTTCCTTGTATATCCTTCCTATATTACTCCGAGCTACACCATAATTGCACAAAACATGATAATTCTCTAACAGCATTGCATCGTCTTTTAGAAACATCAAATTGCGAGGAAGAAATGGAGAGTATTCAGAAGGTTTCAAACCCATGCTCTCGAAGAAAGGTTCAAATTCATTAATGGGGTGATACCGCAAAAACCGTGCCAAAGACCGCCCTATCTCTGTATCATTCTTGACCTTTTTTAACAACTTTGCAAGAAAACGAGGCGCATTATGACTCATGAACTCTGCATCCATAAAACACAAGCTCCTAGTGGAATGCAGGTACTCTAGTAAAGCAGCTTTGGCTTCTTGTTGGGCAGCACGAGATAATTGGGCAGCATTTTCTCTATCCGAAGTCAAACTTCCATCAAAATCTGGATCATTTCCAGATGGACCAGACTTTTTGGTTCTATAAAACCTAAGGCTTTGAACAATGTGGTATCCAGTTGCCCAAAGAGTGGTTCTTGAAGATCTAAGGTTGGTTCCAGTGGAATTTAAAGAAACCCATTTGAAAACGGATGATATTCTAAGTTTAGAAAAATGGGTCATGACTAGTTCGATGAGATTGGCAGTGTATCAATTCGTAGAGAAGCAAAAGGGACAACTTTGAGATATATAGCTTTATGTAAAAAGATGTTTGCGATAGAGTTCTTACCTTGAATTTTTTTGGGTTTTTGTTAGCCTCAGTTTTTGAGTAGAGAGCTCCGAATGTTGCCTCTCTTTTCAGCATGTGATGGCTCAGTAGCAGCCATTGGAGGAGTTCACAGAGAGCAGTTTTGGTTCCAAAAGGGTTTTTCGAACAATGAGGGTTTGGGAGGAGTAAAATATGGTGATTGGGGCCTGTTTGGATTGGAGGTATGAAATAAAATTTGGTCATGAAATTTTTAGGGTTACCTCCCCTATGAAGTTTGAGTGAATATAAAATATAATAAATCCACAAATTTGACATAATTGTATTGAATTCTTTGGGGATTAATAATCAATTCACACAATTTTTACTTCCCAAATTCAGAGAATGAGACTCTTATCCGCGAGACTTTTATTTGGAGTGATTCGAGAAAAAAAAATTATGTTGATGAATCATTGTTGTTCCTTGGGACATGACAGTTGATCTAATAATATATGTAGTCATCCTTTGGGATAGTAACAGATGTTTAAGATTTGAGTCGATGAAGTGGTTATAACAATTTCATTATAATTTAACTTACTAACATTTTATCGTTTGTCAAAAGAAAAAAAAGTATTGAATTCCCTTAAGATTTTAATTCACATAACATTTAACTCTATTTTTTTTTTATCAATAATTTGTTGGTAATATAAATGAAAAAAAAAATATATTGTCATATATTTTGCATAAAATTATATGCTTTACCTTGCCTATCTTTAGTTTATAAATTAGGTGAGAAATTATAAGAACTATATGAAGGAAAAATTCTCACCAATAATTGTAAAATGGGATATTTACGTGTAGGTCCTAATAAATGAATTTATTGTCTAATAGATCCTATGAAAAAAATTTGTCATAAAAAACGTCACTAGTTATAAGTTTTAGCGACAATTTATAAACATCATGACAAAAAAAAGTCACTAATTATCAATTTTTAGCGACGTATGTAAAAAATTGTCATAAAAAATTATTTTTAACGATAATTTTATCAAGATTTATTTTTAATAGGATTTTATTGGAATTAAGTCAAACTATTAGGGCTTATTAGTAATTACGCTGTAAAATTTGGTGAGAAACAAATTGGTTAGTTGTAATATATTTATAATATCGAGGTTCTCCCATAAAATGCGAAAGAATAAAAAAAAATTCAATTTTCTTTCATATGTTTTGCCTTTTTACCCATTTAAATATGATAGAAAAAAAAAAAATACTATTCACAATCGGAGTGTTAATGAAGGGGAAAACGTAAAAATATTTTGAGCATTTTTTCACCCCTAGAAAATTAAGAGGAAACAAAAGAAAAGTAAAGTCTTCCTCATAATAATATTTTATTGTACCTAATTAAGTATATTTTTCTTTAATTAAGTATTAAGAGGGAAGATATCTCCCCTCGCTTACCTTCTCATTCATTTCATTCCCCTCACAACAAGCTCTCTCTCTCTCTCTCTCTCTCTCTCTTCTCCTCAATTGAAACAGAGTGTAAGTGATGAATACGTGTACATCTCTAGTATCTAGAATATGTTTAGGTCTAGAAAAATTTAAAAATAATAGAACATATTTGAAAGAGCATTCAACACTTGTCAGGAAATATCCAACACAGACGCACATTCTGCCAGTACTTCTTAACTTTAACCTATTCCAAGATTTGTAAACTTTATTGAATCATTGTCAAAAGTCTGAGGTAGTCTACTGGAGGCTGTTTGTTTTTTACCAGATGGTTAAATGGGCAGCCTCTATTCTACCCAGAAAAGGCTAATGACTAATTTGTAAACTGAAATAAGTGATCTAAGAAGTAGACTGCAAACCATGACAACATCATGTCTGATCAATCAATAGCCATAAAAAATTGTAGTCTCCACAACAAATCAAAGCATCAAGCAAGGTGATTTCCATATGAATATCAGATTAAAAACAATAAGTACTGTCTATATTTTTCTATTTTATTGTTCATAGACTAGTCAATAAATCTGATCAATATATGAACATCTCAACTACCAAAACTTCACTTCTGCTTTTCTAAGAAACTGCCAACACCTACTACAACAGTTAGCAATGATTTAACTCCTTGTGGTTATGTTTCCACAATGATTTAACTCCTCCCAAGATGCATATTTCTAAATAACAAGTGCCGGCAAAAGTCAAATGATAATAACATACATGAGAAATTAGAAAAGGTTATATAATAGCAGTATCAGTGTGGATGTTCTTGTAACATAAAAAAATGGAAATGAACTTGATTATCACCATGCTTTGAATGAGCTTTAGTCATTGTTTGGCAATGTAATATGGGTATCCACTCATTCCTGCAGGTGTTGTTGAAGGGTGGTCTTTCATTAGACTAAACGGGGAATATGAAATCTGAGGTTGGGTCGGATATGGGGCTGCTGCTGTGGGAGGACTTGGGTAAGCAGTACTAGTATACGATGCCATGGGTTGTGGGTAAGTGTAGCCAACAGGGGCGGTGCTAGAATGAGCTTTTCCAGCTTGCGGGTAACCAGAAGCCACAGGAATTGGTACTGGAACCATAGCTGCCGGTAGTTGTGGTTGAACCATTTTGCTCTTGTGGTTATCAGCTAGCTTCACAGTGATGTTTCTCCCCTGCAAACAAATCAACAACATCAGACAGTTGCTCTCTTATTTTATTTTACTTTCTGGGTAAACAATGGCTCTAGAAGTATGGACACTTCAAAATGGGTGCCGTGCCTGTGTCCGACACACTGCGGACATATATGTCCAAGTGTTGGATACACCACGTGGAGTGTCAATTTTAATATTAATTTTTTTTGCAGGACATTTGAGGATACTTCACGGATGCACGTGTTGTGTTTAGATATGCCCTGAGGCGTCTTTGTGAGAGAGAGACGTAAAAATAAAAATAAAATACATCTACAAATACATTGATGACTTTTATCTGTGCCCTAAATTTACATTCATACACATACCAATTAAAATATATAAAAAATATTCTTTTTTTGCTGTATTCCCGCCGTGTTCATATCCTAATTTTTTCAAAATCTGAGTCATCTGACATCGTACAGTGAACAAAATCAAACTGGCACAATATATACAAATATAGCATTGCCATCTGTCAAAAGATTGGGTCATCTACCCAATTAAAAAAACCACTAAAGGTAAAAAATAAAAAATCAAAGGTAAATTCATCTAAGAAAATTAAATCAATAATACTTAAAGTAAACAAAGAAAAAAATATAATGTGTGCAATGAAGCATAACGAGCAAGAGTGTATGGTCATTTCAGGCAATTACTGAATCAGCACAATGAGTTGTTTCCCCAAAGCATGGTATCATTGCAAGGTTAGGAGAATTTTCTGTCCATCACTTAAAAATGATTTTATCGTTTTACAAAACAAAAGTTCATCTTACAGCAAAGCCATTCTAGCGCATCCTGCCCAATACACACTCACAAGATGGCGACAGTCCTTTTATCAGATAATTTTCCATTATATATTGCAGAATTTCTTTTTTGTTGTTTCATTTTCAGATTTTCTCTGGCTTTTCTTCTCTTCCAGTACTAATACTCCCAAGTTAAAACTGGCTGAGAGCCCAAAAATTGAAAAATTTCATAGTTTTGTTGCGTTGGCTACAAAGGAAGCAAAAATATTGTAAACCTTTCAGGGAGAGACATACAAAATTCAATGATTATATTTTAATTTCTATTTTATATTATTTCCATTATGCATATCTATTAATCCAACTATGCTACATTTTTCCCCCCAACAATGTGAATATAATTTTTCAGAAATAATAAAACTTTTGATTTCAATATTTTTTCTACACACTCATTTCCTTACCCCAAGACTCTTCTGCGGATCATCTATAGCCTTCTTTGCTCCATCCACCGTCTTGTATGTGACAAAGCCAAAACCACTGCAGATTAAAATGCAAAATATACTAAATGTTAGAGTAGCGTTAATGATGATAATATGCTGTTTCCTTAACAAAATAGAAAAGGTGAACAAACCGTGATCTGTTCGTGTCCTTGTCATATGCTACTGAACCCTCTTCTATCTCGCCATGCCTTCTAAAGAAAAAGAGCAGCATCTCACTTGTTGTATCTGGAGACAAGCCGCCAATGTAAAGCTTCCTCTGGGCCTGATCAGGTAGAACACTTGTGCTGCTTAAGCTTTCGCAAGCAAGATTACAAACAACCATGCGACCCTGAAACAATGTGTCAACAACAGAAAAAGTAAATAAATGAGTGAAAGGAAAAAAAAAAAAGAAAAAAAAAAAGAAGTATTGGTCAACAAATAAAAAATTATGAACAGTCATTAATTTTTAGTTATAAGATGATACTGCTGGTCTAACAATTATAACATAATTTTAAAGTTTCAGGCTGTTAGGAGAGTGCACAGGCAGGTTTGGATAGATTTAGGGGAAAAATATCACCCAAACCACCTTTGGTGTATTGAGAATTTTCCAACATATAGCCAAACCCGTCCATCCACAAACCGGTAGGTTGGTTGAATATTTTGGTGATTTCAAACCATCGGTTTGAACAGGTCATCCAGGTTACAGAATAAGGAAGAACATTAGTGAACATATAACTTCAAATTTCAACAAAAAAAATTATTATTTATTAACACAAAAACCGACAGATTAATCAAATGCATGCATGAGGTTATTCACATAATTTTTCACAAATCCATATACAAAACAATTATATTAGAAAAAATATGAGATGAAAATAAGAGGTGATAGTCATCTGATTAATGATTCAAAGGTTAGGAAAAGAATGTGTGTGGGCAAGTGCAAGGTAATTTGTGTGTACATATAGGTGGGTTGGGTGTTTGTAGTCATGTTGACAAATTGTAAACTACAAACCAATCGATTTGTCAATTTTTATCATCTAACCCCCAACCCAAATCTACTCACCTTCTCAAACCCCGTGTGAGTTGGCTTACGTCGGCTCAGGTTGGCTGTATTTTTTTTTGTTGTTGCACACCCATACAAGTTATTGCATTGGAATTTCACAATTAATAAACAATATTCAACCTCACATTACACTTTTATCAATAAATAAGCCGTCTTCAATTTCTTCTAAAAATTTTGCTTCAACTACGTAACTTCCCTCAATATTAAACAGAAAAGGAGACAACCTCTAAAGCATTTCAAACTAAAAAAGAACAGCCCAGTGCAAGAGGCTCCCACCACTGTGGGATATGGGTTAGATTGAGTTTATGCTTGCCACATTAAATTAAAGGCTAAGCTCCACATTTATACATCACACACACACACACAGACATCTAAGCATGGGAGGATGTTAATAAGCCTTATTTATTCATTAATAAGGCTTACATCGATCAATTTGCTAGGTGCTTTCAATGCAGTCTGAGCTGACTCCATATCTTTGTAGGTTATGAAACCATAACCGCGTGATTTTCCTGTGGTTTTGTCAAAGATCACAGCCCCTTCTTCGATTTCTCCATGCACTTGAAATTCCTAGATGAAAACAGCATGTGAAGTTCAGTATAGAATGGCTCAGTGCAATGAGTCTCTGAAGAATAACAGATGATACAACAACAAAAGAAAAATGTTTCTAAAAGAGGAGCGTGAAAATAATTGATACTCCATCTGTGAATTAGTAAGGTCAAAAAACTCATTAAATGGGACAATCATCGACACCATACAAAGCACAATCAGCAGTCAGAAGCACACTCACAGCACACAAGGTTTCTGATGATGTATTCCAGGCCAAGCCACGAACAAAAAGCTTACGGTGTACAGGGTCAGTACGTGCAACACTTCTAATTTCTTCAGCTATAGAAGGATATTGGGACCCTCTTCATGCCACAACATGCAAACAAGCACACATGCAGAGTGTCAATTCACACAGCATATGAGCAGGGAGCAACATCATATAGCCCCGTTTCACTTGACCAAGCAAAGCACTCTCACATGTATCATGGACTAGAAACCATAATGACATAGAAACATAATTGTAGACACAAAAATGTACATACACACAGACACACACACATATGTACAGGGGTATAAACACAAACACAAACAAGCCCATATTCAAGCAAATGCACATGCACAGACACATGCATGCCAGCACATACACATTAGGAGAGACTACAGGCCATTCAGAGTGTTTTGGAATGCATAAGGCTGATACCTTTGAAAGGCTAAAGACCGTTCAAGGTCATGCCCTGACTTCCTACTTGAATGTTTCATACATCCGCAAGTAGCAATTAAGCCAGAGCAAGTGCGACAGTTGGCATCATAGGATTGAGAGAGGGTGCTTGGGCAGTTGAGAAAAACAATGAGGTAGTTTATAGCCATTATTTCACAGAGGTAATAAAAGGGACATGGAACACACACAATGACCCACACACCCATATTGTAAGCAAATTTAGCAATCACTTCCGGCTGTCTAACTTGTATTTTTCCCTTCATTTAAGGTTAATTCCTATTTTCTTTCCGTCCAAACAAACATCTTTCACTTTTAGTTCAATCATTTCATTTAATGGTTAATTGTTCAAGTCCTCTTCACTGAGGCAAGAAATATAACTACCACAAGTAATTTGTACAACCTAATAACAGTCTTCATCAAAGTCAAACCTTGCTCTACAAAATCTCAATCCGAAACAAACCCAATAAGGTATCATCAACTTAACGCAAAACCCAGAAATATCTTACACATACAAACTTGAATATGTGTTTTTTCAATTTTTGTCCACCAACTGTTCGACAAAAATCACAGGATAAATGCGTTGAACTAATCATCAATATGAACATCATATATATATATATATAGAATTGAAACAAACCCAGAATTATATTAAACAAACCAAAAGAATGATATATTGGTAGTGAATTGAAACATACAGCTTTGCAAGAAGCTCGATCAACTGGGCTTTGGCGAGAGGGTCAAGCAACGAACGCAACTGCTCTTCTTCTGATGATAATAAGGAGTTTTGCCCGTTGCCCGTTTCATCAAGTTTCCTCTTCTTCAAATCCTCCATCTCTCTCTCTCTCCTACTCCATAAAAACACGGCCTTTGCTTTCTTTTGGGCGCCCTAAAATAATTTCTCTTACACGTCGATTTTATTTTGCAAAACACAAGAATTTTAATGCATATGGTATGTGTAAAAATGAAAAAATACGCAGTTGTATTTAGAGTGATGCACCAATAAATTTAGGATTGTGAATTAATGAACTGTTTGGTTATAAGATTTTTTTTATAAACTAAAAGGTTCCATTATATCCAATTTTGCCTCTAAAGGTTGTTGTATTGCGCATATGTGGTACAAAGTAATGGACATAAGTGGTATTTTGCACAGTGCAAAATTAAAAAATTGGGGCATCTGCATCCCTTCGTGGTCGGTGTTGAAGCTGCAAAAATGGAAAGATTATGGGGATCAATGTTAAGTCGAAAAATGTCAGAGTAGTTGAAATGGAATGGTAATTGTAATGTTTACATTTCCGAAAGTGAAATGAGGAAACCCTAGATTTGGAGAACCCTAATACATTACCCCTAAATATGACATCGATTCGGCCACTGTGCATGTGATTGTGGAAACGTGAAGGGTGAATTGAACACCAATTGTTGAACAACACTTGCAACACCCTGATTGCAGATGCATTAACACCAGTCACTGGGTGACCATTTTGGTTCGAAAACATAGTGTGAAGGTTTTTAGATTGGCGACATCGTAACATGACTAAAACACAAGAAGGTATGTATTTTGCTATATGTTTTGGGTTTTCATTTGTAATGTTGTGTGGTTGATGTTTATGTTCTGTGTTTGGTAATTATTGTGATGATATTGACATATATGTGAAATTGGTTTGGGGTTATCGATTGTAGAGTGAAGTTGAGTGTAATGTTATGGTAATGTTCATGTGTGTTACGTTAATGTTCTTCATTATGTAGTGTTGTATCATTTGAATACACACATACACATACACATACACATACACACACACAAAAAAAAGAGCAACGAATATAAGACATTTTGTATGGAAGTGTAACTATCATGCGTGTGTGCGCAAGGATATACTTTATTTGATGATGTTCATGTTGGACAATCTTCACTGTATTTAAAAAAATAAATTTTGTTTGTGTACTTAACAACAAACGGAATACAGAAGAAATAAAGGAAAGAAGATAGTTGTTTGATTACAAAAATTAAACCAGAATATAAAATAAATAAATAAAACAGATTTTTATTTTATTACAAAAACAAAATCAAAATCTGAAACAGAAAAAAATAATAAAAAAGAAAAGTAAATTAATTACTTACCTTATTAATTTGTTAAACAAATTTTTGATTAGGTCTAGTGTTTAACATTGTGTCCTTAAGACAGATTTGTCCTCTCTATGATGCTTTCAAATTGTGAACGTCTATCTCACAGGATAAAATGATCAGCAGTAGCAGCACTACAAACTATTCACATAGCAAACACACTTTGTGTTTACACTCTTTTTCATAGGAAAAATTAATGCATCAAAATGCAGAAAGTAATAGCAGAGGCAAGAACCAATTTTCTGAATGCAAAATCTAAATGAGGGTCTATCTATTTATAGGAGAAATTGTGGCTGTTCATATTTGAATCCAACAGGTATGATACCTGTTCGAACAGTGTTGAACAGATAAAAAATCTGTTCGGTTTTGAACTCAACAGGTATGAACCTGTTTGATTTGAATTTAAACAGATATGGGTTTGAACTTGAACCTGTTCGGACAAGTATGAATCTGTACAGAAGGTTTGAAGAGGTGCAAGCAAAATTTGAATTTTTCTAACTAATAATTGAAATTAAAATTGGACAGATTTTATTTTACCAAAAAATAAAATTAAATTCAAATGTTTTTGGCCAAAAAAGATAAGTATTGGGTCGGACAAGCCCAACCCAACCTCACACCACACACTCGCGCCTAAGCCCAACTGATCAGATAGATGGCGGCTACGGCGCGCGTACGTGTTTATTTTGGATCGAATGGGTCTTGTTCACTTTGCCCATAACCTCCCTCTCTACAAAACTTGAGTGTCCCTTGGGGCCTATCCCAAGTTCCAAACCCAAGCCTGATAAGCTCACACAAAGTTTGCCTATAAAACCAATATGGGACAACCCTTAACTCAAACATTTATGGAAATTTCACCAAAACACCATTTCCATGGAGCTCACTTTGACTTCAATTTTCCATTCACCCAATAATGGTTTTGAGCAACCAAATATACTAGGTGAATCAAAACGCGTCATAGAACGCGTTACCACTTAGACCCGCTAACTTTGGTGCATGGATCCTACCTAAAAATTAGACCAAAGTTGAGGAAAAAACTGTTTTTCCAAAACCTTTTCTTACAGAAGTTCATAACCAGACCAACCTGTTCTTCAGTTTCTTTATTTTTAGCAAAAGCTAGGTTGAAATTGAGAGAAAACAACACTGGGAACGATAAGATTGAAAAGAAGAAAAGAGCTTTGGAACCCATTTCTCTATCTCTCAACTCATAGAAGCTCATTGGCCTTGCTTTAAAAAAAAATTTGTAAACTAAAAACAAATTGAATAGCAGCTGATTAATAAATAAAAAAAAAATCAAATAGCTCAAACTATAGCTCATGCGATACCTTCAATGAAAAAAGAAAAAAAATTGAAGCCATTGGATACAATCATAGCTCATGGGATACCTTTAATAAATAAATAAAAAATCTATTCTTGGGGCTTTTTGCCTCATGTATTTCGAATATGTTGAACCTTCTTGAAGAACAACTTCGAGGAAGGGCGTCAGAGCGGTGACCTGGCAGGGACGGGACCGAGAAACCATTGTCGAGTGGATTGGGCTCCTATAGAATGAAAGAGCATCGAACTGAAACAAAAACACAGCGAGTGAGATATGTAGAGAGAGAGAGAGAGGTTGCATTTGTTGTAGCCGCAAAGGTGAGCTTTTGTGTTGTAGAGGGAGGTCTTCACCGAAGAAGAGAAGATGATAACACCTGTCACGATCCAAACCTGCCCCTAAAAGTTTGGTTCATGACCGGCCTGTACATAGGCCTCAAAACAGAATTTTAAAATAATGTTTAACCAAATACGGGGCCTTAAGCGGAAGCAATATCAATAAAAGACAACATCCATTGAGCTTGTGAATACATGATGGCTTAATTATATTTAAGCATTTAAATACACTTCCAAATATACATATACAATCATAGAATTTATATGGATCTCATACACATTTACATAAGACTCTTTAAATCACATAACTCCCAGTAATCAAAATTAAGGCCTCAATACGGAGGCGTACCCCAGGTAACTTGGCAAACAGACGGATCTTAATACAATTCTAATGCCGATCCTCGATGGCTCACCTACATAAATATATAAAAACGGAGTGAGTAAAGCTCAGTGAATAATAGCAATGTAGGGAGGTTAATTAATTGAGCATAGACTTAGAGAATGTAAATATGCATATCAAACCATACACAGATCTTATACATAATCATATTTTAAAACGTCCTCAGGCCCACATGCAATACAGAACGGCCTCGGGCCCATATATAATACAGAACGGCCTTAAGCCCAGATATGATACAGAACGGCTTTAAGCCCAGATATGATACAGAACGGCTTTAAGCCCAGATATGATACAGAGCGGCTTTAAGCCCAGATAACGACAGTTGTCTACACATTGTAGGGTAGGTAGAACATCGACATGTACATTACCTCCCTTAGCCTCTGGCCATGAATCATAATCAATTTACATCATAACGGTCTCAGGCCCACTTTTATTCATAGAGACAGAACGACCTTAGGTCCATAACAGTGCCATTGTTCAATTATATCTATTAATTCAATCAGAGCACAATAGTAGCTGTATATGTCATTCTCAATAACCATATATAAATCATAAGCACTAGAAGTAAGTATAACACATCGTTACACTACTATTACTCACAGTGATAAGTTTCTGACAGCAGTGGGACGATGTCCTCGTCTTGACCTACAAACATAATGTACATAGCATTATCAGAATATACCCGATTCCTTACTTTACTCTTTAATTAATTAGCCATATTAGTACTAAACCCATTAGTCTTTAATAAGTCATAATTCATGTCTCAGAAGATAGGAGGAATCGATAGGAAAGTGGTTCAGACGAAGAAACGGTACAAACCGGTAAACAGAAAGTGAATAGCCGTCACTAATTTGGGCATAACTATTTCTTTATTTAGAATTTGGGAGTGAGACCATCACCATTGGAAACTAGATTTCCGGGGCTTTATTTAGGCTCAAGAATCACTCAAAACGGAGTCCGGATGCAAAAGATATGCTTGTTCAAAGTTGGCTGGACAGAGCTGTCCCCGTACGTGCTGGAGACAGGGCCGCACGTGCAGGATGACGTGCCTTTTTAGCAGATTCAACTTTGGTTTTGGGACTGCACTGCCGCATGTGCGGGAAGACCCGCCGCATGTGCGGCTCTGGGCAATTTTCAGTCTGAAAATGGCTTTTTGATTTGGACCTTCTCATTTTCAAAGTTAAATCTCAAATTCATGTAAACCAAAGCCCAAAACCCTTTAATACATGATAAATTTCACATTATTAATCTCCATCAAACATCATAACCTCAAAATACTACTCAATTCCCAAGCTCAAGAACACAAGAGCATAAAATAGCCATAGTTGGGGTTCAAAGCTCACATCTTTCATATTTACATATATCTTCATTCATGTATAGCTAATCATGAAAAACCCCAAGATTGGAGCTCAACTTCCCATAATCAACCTCAAGATAAACAAATATAAAGAATTTAACTCTTCAATTAAGCAATTCTTAAAGAATCAAGGTTCAATTTCATGAAGAGAGTTCATTTCATCCATAATCCAAAACTCCAATTCATCTATATATTACATCTTCCAAATCAATCCTTGATTTCATGTAAGTGATGCGTTAAACATAAGGATTCAAGATAGATGGTCATACCTTAGTTCAATCTTTGTCTTTCTCTTAGTTTTCTTTAATTTCCCCAAGCTTCCATGGGTGGTGAGCTCTCTTTCTCTCTTGGAGAGCTTCCTCTCTCCTTCGCTCTCCCTTCTCTCGGTTCTCTCCCTCAGATATTTTGTTTGACT